TCCCTCTTCTCTCAACACCAACAGGTGAAGAGATTAAAACCCCAACCCAAACCCCTACATGGAATGCTCAGCTGGGCGACATTTTTAATATCGAATTACAAGAGGCATATTTTTTTTTCTTCTTCCTTCCCTTGTGGAAGCATAGCTCTCATCTGGTGAGATGTGCCCAGCCCATCTTGAAACGAAGATCATGCTATTTAAATAGTAATTTCTTTGTGCTCGAGCTTACAACCCACCAGGTGAGGCTTGTGTAATATACTGTTGCCACGCAGATGTTAAACGGAGGGGGGTGAGGGTGGGGGAAAACGGGTAGAGATTCCCCAGACTGCCAGAGACAGAGGGGTGATCATCTTTGGAGAAGTTTCCTGACACACGGCCCGTCTCAAGATGTTGGCCTGCAAGGAAGAGGGATTCACCCTGGAGACATTTGCCTGCATGTCATGATGGAACAGAAGGACAGGGTCAGCCTCTCCAGGAGACACCAAAACAGCTGTCCAGGGGGCCATGCCCACTGTCACCTTTTAAGTCTGCAGCTCGAGGACTCTGGCGGGGAGACGTCCGTCCAGCATCCCTTTGCCAAAGCCTGTAACTGCTGGCCCCCGGCTTCGGTGGCCCATGAGATGGGCTAACACTGTGTCCTGATAGCAACGCGTTTGGGTTAGCCCAGGCATGTCCTCATAGGCAGTAGGTTTACACCCTGATCAACCAACCATTTGGGTTTGTCTGGGACTACCGCAACTGACAGCCTTTTGCTGGAGGATGAGGTCACACCTCTGTGGCCTCTGCCATATCTGTCCACAGGAGGAGCCATCTTTTGTTTGTTTGTTTGTTTTGTTTTGTTTTGTTTTTACGAGACAGGGTTTCTCTGTATTGTTTTGGAGGCTTTCGGTCCAGCCTGGCCTCGAACTCACAGAGATCCGCCTGCCTCTGCCTCCCGAGTGCTGGGATTAAAGGCGTGCGCCACCAACGCCCCGCAGGAGGAGCCATCTTAAGACTGTAACTCTGGTTTTAGGGGATCAGGTGCTCTTTTCTAGCCTTTGTGAACACAAAGCTCGCAAGCGGGGCGCAAGCAGAACACTAGTACGCATAAAATCAAAACGTTCGGCGTTATAAAAAAAAAGACTCTAGATTGGGCACCAGTGACTTCTCCCTTCTTCCGGGGATGGGGGCACGGGACAGATGAGGACTGACATTCTCCCTGTAAGCGTGCTGAGGAAGTTGGGCAGATTGCCTTACGTTGACTAACTATGCCTGAAAACAGAGCGTGAGCAGGGGATGTCCCACCCTGGGATTCCCGGGCACCATCACCCTAAAGAGACCCCACCCCGTCCCCTGCAGGTCTGGCTGGTGGCACTCCCCTGTTCTTCACTGGGAACTTGCAGGCAGTGTCTCATTTCCAGCTGGGAAGGTCCTTTGTACCTCTGCTCTGGTGTTTCCACACTTTGCAGAGGGAACCGTGGACTTGGAAACAAAAAACAAAACAAAACAAAAAAAAAAAACCGCAATGATCCCAGAAAGGGAGGCCGAGGCCCAACTCAAAAGCCCTTTCCCACACCTGGAACCTTCCAGGACAGTCCTCTTTCTCCGAGAGTCTCCCCTACCCGGGCAGTTTGTATCCCTTTGTGTGATTATTTTATTACAGTCTCGTCTCTTCTTAGACGGGGGTCTGTGGGTCAGCTTGCAGGTATAATTCTAAGCCAAATGTCCAGCCCGTGGGAAGTTCCAGGAAAATGTTGGCTGAGCGATGAAAGAAAAGCCCGACCAGACCTCATCCCAGACTTTACCCGCACTGCATTGCCTTCCCCCCTGCCATACGCGCCAGTCACGCTGGAGAACCGTTGCACAAGGAGAGAGATATTGGCAAGCACAGGTGCAGGCATGTTGTCCGCCCGCGTGCTCCCCGAAGGGGCACATGAGCAGGACTCACACCCGACCCACAGAGGAAGTCTTTCCGCATCACCGGGGCCTGTGGGGCCAAGGTTCAGCTTCTCCCGGGTGCCCAAGGTTATGCACAGTTCCTGACGCTGCCCTGGATGGCAGGCTGCCCTCCCGACTGCGAGCTGTGCCTGGAACTCAGCCACCTGGAGTGCTGCGTTCCTTCTCGCCCGCCCCTCCGTTCGCAGATGTGGCCTATGAACCCAGGGCGGTTACTCAGCATCGGGCTGAGGTAGGTGGCTCAGCAGATGAGGGAGCGAGCTGTGCTTCCAGGGAACCAAACATTCAACTACCAGCACCAGCAACCACCCACCTGTTAACTCCAGCTCCAATGGGGGGGAATCTGATGCCCCCTTCTGGCCGGTGAGAGCACTGCACGCAGGTGTGCACACGCCCACACACATACATACTTTAAGAAGAAAAACAATTAAAAAAAGAAACCCTGTTTTAGAAAGTCGCTCAGACTCAGGCGGTAAGTGTGGAATGCAGTGGGGTTTACCTTCAAATCGGTGCCCGTCACCGCCAGGTTGTGTGTTCTCTACACTTCACCAACTCTGCCAGGAGTCCCTAACTGTTAGGGCTCAAGGGTAGCTGGAAAGATATTGTCAGTGCTTCTCAAAATAGTTTCCTGCTTCCATTTTTTATTTATTTATTTATTTATATTTATTTTTATTTTGGTTTTTCGAGACAGGGTTTCTCTGTATTGCTTTGGAGGCTGTCCTGGAACTCACTCTGTAGACCAGGCTGGCCTCGAACTCACAGAGATCCGCCTGCCTCTGCCTCCTTATTTTATAACAGCTCTATGGAGGCCTAGTTCACACACCGTATGGTTCATTCTCTGGGAAATGTATAGTTTGGTGGGTTTTAGTACAGTCACCCAGCAGGACGCTGTCATTGCTGTCCAACTTTAGAAACTTTTTTATCAACTCAAACAGAAGCCCAGACGTCATTAATGGTCACTGTCTGCTCTAGCCCTCCCAAAGCCCCTGGCAGCTACTGATCTCATTGGTGTCTCTTGGACTTTGCCACCCTTAGAAAAATGAAGCTCCATCCATGTTTTCAAGGTTCCCCTGTGCTGTTGTGTCATTGGGGACTTTGTTCATTGTCATGGTAACCATAATATTCCCTTACGTGTGTGTGTATGCTTTCTGTTCATTAATTACATAGATTTTTTATTGGTTTTGTCTGAGGTATTCTGTGCCTTTAGAGGCCAGACAAGGGTATCAGATGCCTCAAAACTGGGGTTACAGATCGGGTTCCTCTACTATCATTATGGTGTTGTTTTTTTTTTTTTATCTTGAACCAATACGAAAAAGACAAGACCATACAAGATTCTGGTCTTTGGTCACTCTCAGCAGCTCAGAAGACCTGGAACGATATTCCTCATCGTGATGGTTTGAATGATAAGGATCTACGTAGGTTCACATGTTTTAATACTTAGCTCACTGTTCGCGGAACTGTCTGGGGAGGATTGGGAGGCGTGGTCTTGTTGGAGGAGGTGTCTCACTGGAGACAGGCTTTGAGGCTTCAAAAGTCCACAGCATTCCAAGTTCTCTCTCTCTCTCTGTCTCTCTCTGTCTCTCTCTCTGTCTCTGTCTCTCTCTGTCTCTGTCTCTCTCTCTGTCTCTCTCTGTCTCTCTCTGTCTCTGTCTCTTTGTGTCTCTGTCTCTCTCTCTCTCTCTCCCTCTCTCTGCCTTGCCCAAGGCCTTCTTTAGGGCTGGCGTGCGTGCATGCGTGCGTGCATGCGGATGCGGCAAAAGTTACAGCCCACGCCCTACGTCCCACAGACTTTTCCCTCCAGGGCTCACCTAGATCCTCTCCATCACTGTAACTTTCTAATTCACCCTTGACGTCTGCAGTGACACACATTTCCCCGGGGTGAGGACAGATGACTTCCCCCAAAAGCCACATCCCACGGGAACTCCAACGAGTGTTTGGGGGATGACTTTGCTGGCAGTGCCTCCGAGCGTGCTCCCGTGGACAGAGAGCTGCAGCATGTGCGGAACCAGGTTTGCGTTTGAGATCCAGACACAACGGCACAGCATAAATCGAAGTGAAACTCAGCCACTCGCGTGGTGGGTACACCCCAGAATTCTGTCTTTTCTGGAGCCCGGGTGCAGCAGTTATGTAGGAGATAAAACATTTTCTTGCATATAAAGATGTTTCAAAAGATTTGTTTACTTTCATCCTATCATTTTATGTATATGTATGCACTGTGTGCATGCAATTCCTATGGAAGCCAGAAGAGGGCGTCAGGTCCCCTGGAACTGGAGTTGCAGATGGTTGTGAGCCACGATGTGGGTGCTGGGAGTTGAACCCTGGTCCTCTCAAAGGGCGCCAAGTGCCCTTGACTCCTGCTCCATTTAATTAAACAAACAAACATCCTTTTCATGGTGAAGAGGAATAATAGATCCTGGTGGCTTAAGCGCCTTATGTAATTACTATTTTACAAGGACCCTGGATATTTCTGTAAGTCCTATCTTCAGCTTAAGTCCTCTAAAGAAGCAACATTCATACATGCGCTTGCACACACACACACACACACACACACACACACACACACTGCATGTGCACAATCAAAAATTGGAATGCCAGAAACACTGTCTCAAACAAATAGAACAAACAAGCAGATAAATAAGGGGCTGGAGTGGTAGCTCAGTGGTTAAGAGCAATTGCTACTCTTACAAAGGATCTGTGATTCCATTCCCAGCACCAACAGGGCAGGCAGCTCACAAACATTTGCAATTTCAGTTCCTGGGAATCCAGCACCCTCTTCTGGCCGCTGTAGGTACTGCATGCACATGGTGCACAGCTGTATACCCAGGTACAACACCCATACACCTAAAGAAATAAATCTTTAAAAAAAAAAAAAGTTCAACAAAAGCCCAAAGCCATGAGGATATCTGCCATGCAGAATATGGCAGGAGTTTTTTTGTTTGTTTGTTTGTTTGTTTTGTTTTTTTATAAGTGGAGTCTGGTCAAGTTCTGCCAAAAACTGACAAGCACAGAAGGTCGATTTTATTCTTTGTGGGACTCAGAAAAGACGAGCTTTCTTGGGTTCCGGGTTTTGTTTTTGCAAAGGTAGAGGTTTTATTGCATAAAACACTGGATAAAACCGGACTGCTTCAAAGACATTTTATTCCTAACAGCAGAAAGAAAACAGTCACCGCTGAGAAAAAAAAAAAACAACTTTTTAATACTTTCTATACCAGAATAAAGTTCTGTCCACTGATGTATTGCAATAATAAATAATGACCAAGAATAAACTTTAAATACAAAGTGTTCTACTTGTTACAAGCATAGCGACAAAACTCCTCTACTCTATGATTTCGGAGTCCCTCCAAGATAGGGATGGAGACGGGGTTAGGAACAGCATCACAGACTACAGAAGTCACGGGGGAAGGACGTGTGTAGATACGAGAGCCTGGGGACACGTGAGGATGGCACCGCGTCACAGAGGCTTTGTCACGGGCTTGTGTTACAAGTCACAAATGTTCTGGAAAGAAAGCCTGTGTCAGAGGGAAAAGAGTACGGCTAGTCGGACTGGACAGAATGGGATCAACACACACACACGCACACACGCACACACGCACGCACGCCACAAAGAAGGGGAGTGTGCTCCCAGTGTCACAAACAGAATTATTGCCTGTAGCGTCTGAAGATGCTCGCTCCGAGGACACAAAAGACACTTGTACCAGCTCCAAAGTGCTAGACACGGAATGTGGATCTCTCTCTCTCTCTCTCTGTCTTTTTTTTCCACGTTTTTTTTCTCCATTTTATTATTTTTTTTCTTTTTTCTTTTTCTTTTTTTAATTTCTCTTTGCTAAGATACCACAGGTGGGGCAAACACACGGAAGGCAAAGCCAACGGCACAGTCACCAAACACGGCAGTGCACTTAAACCCTAAATGTTCACTACAGTCAGAAGTTTTCCACCAGCGTCTCCAGGCCCGCTTCCGGCCACAGAGACAGCCACAGTCCATCAGTTGAGTTACGTAAGGCAGTGAGAACTAGTCTAGAGGAAAAAGAAGAAGAAGAAAAGAAAAAAAAGAAAGAAGAAATGAAAGAAAGGAAAAAATAAACCAGGAAGAAAGCAGCTTGCCTCATTCCCAGTGAAACCCCGGTTTGGTGACACCCTTTTGACAGCATATGCAAACCGGATTCCTTATTAGCCTGAAATTCAGTCTCAGGATAGTGCTAAGAATTTTATTTACATTGATTGCAGCTTAGTATTTTTGTAAACTGCTATAGGCAGAGTGGAAGTTTTTAAGGCCCTGGGGTTTTATTGTGTGCTCCCAGACTGCAAGAAAATATTGACTTTTTCCCTCTCTCTCCAAGTCTAAATGATTTCGTTCTCGAAGTTAATACTTCACTACGTCTCCACCATCACAAGCAACAGTACCAATTTCATGTCACTCAAAGGAAGTGTGTTAGAAGGTGGGGACTCTTACAGCATTCTAGCAGATTCAAGAAGAATAGTTTGATGAGTTTGCTTACACCATTGTTTTGGTTTCGGTTTTGGTTTTTTTTTTTTTAAAGAGTTGTGTGTTTCCTTGTCAACCCTCAAAATCTCCCTCAGTGTGGCGAAGAACTGGATACATTTTGAGTGTTCAGTCAGTAGACGCTCTATAATCTACAAAAATACAGAACACATTTGTTTCACAGAAATGAACATTCTAACCCAAACTGTTTTCTTCATTAGTGACAGACAGCCGGGGGTTTAGATTCATGTTTTAATACAAGTTATTTTGGAAGAGCTCACTGGAGAAGAAAAAAATCTTGCTTCATGCCCACTACACTTAAAAAGTAACACGTGAAAAAAAAAAAAAGAAATCTGGTAACAAGGGCCAGGGTAGACGTCATTCAAGTAAAAAGTGTCTTAAACCATAATGTAAAGCAGTCTTCCCCATAAGCAAAGAACCTGCATTTGTTTACCAGAACTTTCCATGGACAGTAGGGTTGAGTTGGCCTGGTTTCCTAACGACTGTCTCTAGAATGTCTCCTACACTTTGTTTTTAGTATCAAACCTCGTCCTTCATCCAGACGCTTTCAAAACGACAACCCAGGAAAGAAAATAATAAGGCAAAAAAGCATGTCTTTCCATACTGCAATTTGATCTAAAAAAAAAATGACTCATCAAACCTGCAAAGGACATTTGCCTGCAGACGCTTCCTGACCACTGATTCATGGGGCTGTGTGTGTTTTTTTTTAAAGCACACTTTAGATGACCATCTTCCCCTGCACTGGTCAGGCCTGGCGCTCGCTGGCTGCGTGCGGGCCGGCTAGGATTTCTCCCAGAGTGCAGAGTGACACCACGTGAATTGATTTTCCCTGCAGTGACCGCCCCAGTCTGACTGGCACCTTAGCTGCCTCCCAGTTCATCTCATTAGGGCGCTAGGCGGATGACAGCATCTGGTGTCAGATTATAGAGGTGTTTTCGAGAGGCAACGCAAATCGCTCGGGTGGTATCGTTTTTTTCTCTTTTTTGTTTTTGCTTTTTGTTTTCGATTTTTGGACAAAGGTGACTTTCGGGTTGGAAAGGCCACCAGCTTCCAGAGCTGGAAGGACACGGGGGGGGCATTTCTGAAGTCACTGTCTCCCGCCTGCATTGCTTGGAAGTTTTTGTTACTGGGTAACAGTGTAGCAGCCATGTTCAAGGGCTGGGGGATTTTTCTTTTTAATATATATATAGATATATATATAGATATCTTTTAAAATTATTTTTTAAATGTTCTATACACTAGTGAGGGATTGTACATGATTTACCCCCCTCCTTGGAATGCAGTTATCAAACTGTTGAAACCAGACGCATGATTTGAAACTGTAGAGAGGAGTATTGCAGCGGACAAGGCTTGGCTCAGTTGCCCTCCTCCTGGCCCTTGCCTCTCTCGTCTGTTAGCTCGACAAAGCTCCCCGCCTTGGCAGTTGCAGCCTCCTCAAAATTCCCAGAAGCCTCCGAGTCCACCCTGGAGCGTTTGAACCTGCGGTCAGGGTACTGGCTGTTGTCGAAAGGCATTCGGTGGACGCAGAGGACGTGGGTCTTCAGGTTTCCCTTCTGCGAGGCACTGTAGGGACAGTAGTGGCACTGGAAAGGCCTGTGACCTGTGTGGAAAGAAAGTGTCTGGTCAGCCACGTGTCACACCGCCCGCTACCACCCCGTCCCGAGCTCTAGGACCAATGCCGCCGTCTCTCCAATCAGCGCTATCGCAGTCGCTTAGCAAAATCCAAACAAGAAGGGGTTAGAATGCAGCCCAGTGGGCACATCGAGTGGGATTTAGACTACCCTCCCAATCTGACCAGAATTTTTAGTTTAGACTTTCCAGAAGAGGGAGGAGAAAAACCACGCAATACCTAGGAACATTGCTGTAAAACGGATAGTTTAGCATCAAAGACGTTATTATATGAATGTTTACGCAACGAGAAATGAAACAAACCATCCCATGTTTTGAGTTTATGTACGTGTGTACACACGCGCACACACACACACACACACACACACACACACACACACACCACAAGCAACCTCTCACCAGCCTGTATCCCATTGACAGGGTTCGAAACTTTGCTTGCGGATGCGTAATTCTGCTTTCAGGCGGCACGTAATAGTCTTATATTAGGCTTTCCCCCAACCATGTTGCTGGAAGTGTAAAGCCATTCTTTTTTTTTGTTTTGTTTTTTTGTTTTTTTGTTTTACGAGACAGGGTTTCTCTGTATTGTTTTGGAGGCTGTCGGTCCAGCCCGGCCTCGAACTCACAGAGATCCGCCTGCCTCTGCCTCCCGAGTGCTGGGATTAAAGGCGTGTGCCACCACCGCCCAGCTGTAAAGCCGTTCTTAATTTACCAATGTGTGCCTAAAAAAGAGACCACAAGCAGATATGACCAGTAAACTGTATTTTGCTGACTGTAGATACACCCAAGCCCATTAAGTTTCTGGACTGGGTGTCCGTCCTCAAGGCTGAGGGTGAGGCTGCTTCATACTGTTACGTGTCAGGAACTCTTTACCATGCCTGTTTGAGGGGTGAAGGAGACGGATGGCGAATGACCCTGATCTAAGCAAAGCTGTAAGGAAGGACTGAGCGGCAGGGACTTTGAAATTGGAAGTGTCAGGACAGACAGCAAGGACCACACCATCGGATAAAGGTCAGCCTGAGCACCGAAACAGTGAGTTTGGGGACTGGAGAGGTGGCTCCGGGTGATGAGAGCACTGCCTGCTCTTCTAGAGGACCCTAGGTCTGTTCCCAGCATCTGAGCTGGGCAGTTCATAACTACCTGAAACTCTATCTCCATAGAATACATCACCCCCTTCTGGCCTCATGGGGTACTGCACTTACATGGTACATACACACACACACACACACACACACACACACACACACACACACATACACACACCCATAATGCAGACTTGAGGAGTGACCCCCAAAATGATAGTTTTCTAGGAAAGCTCCTGTGATAGGACAGCTGACAAATTATTAAGTAGTTTTGGTCCTGAAAGCTTGATCCCTGCCCTGTGCACAACAGGAAACAACACCTCCGCCGTCTTGCAAAGTCAGTGAGGTGTCTGCTTTAGGAGGTGACAGGGAGCACGCGCAGTCCCTCTGATGCCAGGAAGGTGTGGGTGTCCGCTCCCCAAAGCTCAAGAGCTGCCACACCCTGCCCTGGAGAGAAGCCCAGCCTTGTTTGCTTACACGAGTGCAGACGGGGCTCTCTGACTCCATCTGCAGAAAAGTGAACCAGCTAATAAGGGGACCGATCGTTGCCCCGAATATCCCATTGTCCCGAATATCCAAACAGCAGAGTTGGGCTGCTTCCCTGCTTCAAATCACAGGAAAAAGCCCTGTGTGCACTTTCACAGAGCAGTGTATTCCCAAGAGCCAAACAGGCAATATTTCCTTTCTCTCATTTCTGTCTCCGTCTCCGTCTCCGTCTTCATCTCCCTCCCCCTCCCCCTCTCTCTCCTTCCTTTCCTCTTTTCCTTTCCTTTTCTTTTTCAGACAGGGACTCTTATGTAACATGGGCTGGCCTTGAACCCCCGATTCTCCTGCTTCAGATTCCCGCTGGGTGCTGGGGTCCCAGCCTGCACCAGCACATCTGCCCAATGACACCATCTCGATTCTCTCATCTGTTTGCTTGGCTGTTTTGCTAACCCAGTTCTCCCCCTCTATGGCTCAGGCTATCTCCGAAGTTTCTGTACCCCTGTCTCCGTCTCCCGAAGGCTCCGTGCTCCTGTACTAGACACGTGGTGTCTGGTTCGACTATTCTGTTCCTTCCTAAGTGGGCTCTTCTGCAGTATGCTCACCCCTTCCCTCATAGCCAGAGCTAACTCCTCCTGTCGGGGGGGGGGGGTCTCTGTCTTTATCACGCAGAGCCAGCTGGGGTATGAGATAACCCTTGTCTGGCCTGTGAGCATGGGTGCCCTCAGAAGCTCCCACATACTGCCACCTTCCGGCCCATTTTCCCTGTGCCACCAGAACGAGCACCAGTTTAACCCCAGCCCACTCGGGAGGCAGGGGCAGGAGGATCGCTGCGAGTTCGAGGCCAGCCTGGTCTACCGAGCGAGTTCCAGGACTGACTGCAAAGCTACAGAGAAACCCTGTCTCAGAAAAAAATAGAAAGAAGAAGACAACTTGTAGATCAATAGTTATTTCTTACCCCCCACCGTTCCTGCTGGCTAGCCATCCCAAAGGACTAGTCATCACTCGTGGTCCAGCCTGAGGAGATTCCACTCCCTTTCATGCCATCTGAGTCTCCAGGATGCACCCCCTGTCTGAACCCACCTCTCCAGCGAGGACAAGATCCATTTCACCTTGAAATGGATCCCTCTGGACAGGCTCCAGCTTCCAGGACTAGAACCACAGCCTCTCAAAATCCGGTGCCTCAAAGCACTCGCTGTCTCCCTGTTTCATCTGCCCTGGGTTTGAAAGAATCGCTACAGATCTTGGATAGAGCTTTTGCGGCTCTTGTTTCTATGGATGTAGCAGTACAGGGCTTGCTTTTGTTCCTATGGATGTTCAGGGCTTCGGGAGAGTCAATTTTCCCACCTCCAAAAGCAGTATGTAAACTCTTGGATGTGGGGAGGAAACACAGAAAAAAAAATTGCACTTGCCTTCTGCCCTTCCCAAGATGCTTCAGAGGAAGAATGCAGAGCACAATTCAGCAGGGACTCTACCACCAGCCTGATTCCTGCCTGCGTTTCTGCTGTCTGGTTCTACCCTCGGGGCTTGGCCACCTTCCCATGGAAACAGAGAAGGCCCTGAGTGGGAGATGTGAGACTAGCATATCTTCCTATTATTAGCATATATTAATTGCATGAGATAATTGATTTCACGATGAGCTTTTTTTTCATACACCACGTACTCTGATCATATCCACTCACTATTAACCTCCCTCGTTCCCGGCACCTCCCGATGGCCACTGGTTCCCTCCCCGTCCTCAAATAATACCCTTCGACATTCAAGAGAGGCGGATGCTTCTGTAGATTCCCGTGTGTACAGGGGATGCAAACGGTCCTCGTTCTTCACCAAGCAGAATTTTTTGGTAGACTGAGTTGGCTAACTCGGGATGTTGCTATAGTTTGTATGTTATCTGAGTGAGTTCCCCCAAGGGACTCGTACACTGTGAGCTTAGTAGCCAGTGTGGCGGTGCTGAGAGGTGATGGAATCTTTATGAGGCAGAGGAATATGGAATTTGGTCTGGTCACCGGGGATGCTGTCCTTGGGAGGGATTATGGGATCATGGTCAGCTTCTGTGAGACTGAGTTATGACCTCTGAGTCTGGGTTCTTCTCATCTGCCATGTGATTACCCCTTCCTGGACATGATCCTGCCGTGATGCTGTCCATCATGTTGTGATATAGCCAGTGGCCTTTACAGGAGCCAAGCTGAAGCCAGCCCTGTGCTCTTAGATCTCCACAGCTGTTAGCTAAGTGAACCTCATTTCTTTATGTAGTACTCAAGCTCAGGAACTTAGTTATCGCAAAGGAAGTCAGACTCTGATAGATTTCCTAGGGGAAATGACTGGAGAAGCCACGGTGTGTCTACATCTCCTCCCTTGTTGGGCATCTATAAATGGGGCCCAGCTGAGCAACAATAAGATACAGCAGATTTGGCAGAAGGAATCAAAGTAACACTGAGACCCTAAATCTCAGTGATCCAACTCATGAAGTCACCGTCCCTGCACACGCTAAAGGTATGCCCAGCTTTTGCAGAAAGATGACTCATGCTATAAATGGAAAACTATGGAGCAGGAGAAAGATCAGCTTAGCACTGGCGATTGTTGACACAGGAACAGTGGAAGATCCCGCCCCCTTCTCCCAAAGAGTTCAGGGCCAGGGGCTGGGAGATGGCTCAACAGTTAAGAGTAAACACTGCTCCTGTAGGGGGGACCCAAGCTCAAGTCCCAGCTTCCGTGCCCAGCAACTCACAACCACCTGTAATTCTAGCTCCAGGGATCTGACCCTTCCCCCTCTTCTGGCATTCACAGGCACTGTACTCACATGTAATTAAAAGTAAATGTTTAAATTAGAGAAAACACAGAACCCTGAGGGAAGGGAGACAACAGGAAACTTCAGAGATACTCCTCAGCCTTTAGGGTACGCTTATGTTTCCCCAAGGGGAAGAAGGTTCTATGACAGTGCACAGCTGAAGGCAACTCACATAGATCTGTCACAAAGTCACCAATGTAGTTCTTATAATTAATGGCTATTAACATGGCATGACAAGTTTGGGGATTGGAAGAACTTCAAATAACACACCAACAACAATTTTAAAATGAAAATGTTTGGCATCCAAGAGGACAGCAGACCCACAGACAAACTGAGCAAACACAGGCTAAGCTCATTGGTCAGGCTCTAGGACCTTACAGATTTCCCCACACTGGGAGCAAGTTTGTTCAACAGCCAAAGCCTTCCATTGTATCACCTATGAACATTGCTGAAAAATCACTGTTTAGGGATCCTGGTCTCCGATCTTTGGATGTTACCCTCCCTGTAGACCCTGTCACCTCAGAGGCCACGCCATTTGAGCGTTGGCACAATACACAGAGAGCCTTGAGTATTACCTCAGTTTGCAAGGAGTGTCTTTTTTTTTTTTTTTGCATTGGCCAA